TTTTGAAGCTCAGGCACTTGGCCTTCTGCTCACACCATAGAGGGCTTCCTGGGTGGTCTGCCCACTGGGTAGAGTAGGAAACCTGCTGTTCCCCAACAGCTAGCTCTTAACCAGACGTATAGTATTAAGAGCCAGATAATGGCACTGAACAAGGGCTTCCACGGCCCAGAAAGAGATATAGTAAGTGATGCCAAGAAATCTTACCAAAGAACGGTACTGACTCAAAAATCCCCATCCAAGTCAGCTAACTCTATATAATTTAAATCTGACTCACTGTCTCTATGATGCGTTTGCAATCAATGAAATTATTTTGGTATTTATTGGCATAGGCATGCCTTTACAAAAACTGCATGTGAAGTTATATTCATGTTGCTTACTTTACATCTATAGATGCAGAATTCGTATTTCAGCAATATTAGCTTAGCCATCAAGTTTATTTCTCAGTGCCACTATCAAGCATCAATCAGCAAGTAACACTACTCTGGAACAAACAATAAAAACTGACCAGTTCTTAATCATTCCCATGGAAAGTATTCTGGTTTTAGCCACTGTTGTGTACCTTTTTTATTATCCTAGCCTCTATAGTCTATTCCCAGACAAGTACTCATAATGATCTTTTTAAAACTGTCAGCTAGGTGGGGAGATGCTATCTGTTAAAGGTGTTAGTGGCATAAGCTTGATGGGTAACCTGAGCTCTGTCCCTGAAATCCAGCCTTAAAAAAAGCTGGGTTGTGTACATCTGCTATCCCAGCCCTCATGGCAAGATGGTTCAGGAGAACATTTCAAAAGCTTGCCATCCAGCCAGCCTGGAGGACTCAGTGAAGCATGAAAAAGAACAAGAGGGAGAACGTTGTCTGGTGATGTCCACATGCCCACCATGGCCCCTGAGCCACATCCTGTATGGACTCCACTGTTACATTCCAGTGACGCCACATTTTTTTTTTCTTCTTGGCCTTTTATCTGTCTGTTTTTCATGTTTGCTTCTCTCACTCTGCTGCAGTCACGGTAGCTTCCTTACTGCCCCTGGAGCATGCCAGACGTTTCTGTTTCTGTGGACTTTTCTTTGCTCTGTGTTTTCCTCTGTTACATTGCCTTTTTTCCAAGCCTACCTGCTTGTCTCTCCTTCTCACTTCCTAACCATTGTTCCAATAGGGTCTGTGTGATCATCTACTTACTATTATGCCCACCTCACTCCCTGGCACCTGCTCTACAGCAGTTTCTTCTTCAAGTAGCACTTACCACCCCCACCCTTACTCAGAACAGCATGTAAATGAAGCTGATGCTTAACCAAGTTCTTCAGACACAGCACGCACGAGGAGGCCTATTTTGATTATACAGGTGCTCACATGAGCATGTACACCTATACAATTTGTAAACACAATATATTTTAGCTACAATCAAGACTGTTACCTCTTTAAATCCAGCTTTTTTTTTCCTCTTCTTTTTCATGCTCTCCCTTGTACCAAGTTGTATCAGAGTTGCTATGGCATTTCTGAGGTATGGCTCAGGGAAAACTGCTTGGGATATGTTAGTCATATTTCTGTCACTATATCCAAATGCCAGAGTTATAACCAACCTAAATTTTAAAACATGGCTATTCTGTCTCACCATTTTGGGAGTTCCAATCCATGTTGATTAACTCTAAGGTTTTGACCCTGTGGCAAGGAAGCATAACACAACATGTCTGTAAAACGTGGTGGAGCAAGAATGCTTCTGGAGTCCCACTGTCCAGTCAAGGACCTATTAGTCAACCCTGCTCTTAAAGGTTTCATGGCCTGTCAGTAGCACTATCCTGGGATGGAGCCTTTAACACAAAAGCCTTTGCCTGGACACAAGATCCAAACTGTATGTAGCTCAGAGACACATTTATTTTGGACAATGTGGAAGGTACCCAGACAATACACAGTTGAAGAAAATTCACATTTTGTAGATTATAGTTTAAAAAAAAATGATGAAAGTTTTTATAAAATTCACATGTAATTCTCATGGACTTTATGAATTGACTAAACAGTTATGACATCAAGAGAAACCTATCTAATCAATAACAATTGCAATCAGTCGGGTGACAGAGAGGAAGAGACCATCTTAGCTTCCTCCCTGATTTTGGTGAGGGCAGTTGTGCCTGGGCCAAGTGCTGTGTGTTCTTTTTAATAAAATCTGTTATGAAACAACTATGCAAACATGTGATCACAGAATGGACCTTGGATAGCTACTCGTGGGAAATATTTGTAACTTTAATGCTTACAGTGGTTCTTCTGTGTGAGCTTTGAAATGTATGCAAATTGTGATGTCTTGTTCTTCTAAATGAATATTTCGTACTGTGTTTCATTTTAAATTCTGTATTCTTGTTTAAGAAGGCCCAGATAATCCTATACTACTTTAAGTATACCTTCATATGCTACGTAAAGTTCTTACTTAATCTGGGTGTTGCTTGCTGTCTGTCCCTCATTTTATCCAGGAGACAACAATCATCACATTAACAGAGACCCTATACTCTGTTAGTATATGTTAACTGCCTGACCAGTACTTGACATATTGTAGGATCTCAATAAGTATTTTTTTGAATGAATGCATACATCCACAACATTACAGCTAACCATTAGTGTCACCAAATTTAACTCTGCTGAAGAAAATTTCATATCAACATGAAAGAGAATGAATATATTATGCCACAGAGACCACATTTGAAATCGCCATGCTTCATGTGACCAGGGAAGTAGAGATACGCTCCTATCCATTTGTTCTGTTATCAGGAGCTATGTTTGTCAAAGGGATCCAGATTATTATTTTCTAGGTTCTACTACCTAGAGTGCCAAGGCTAGCCCTGACTGTTTGGGGCATTGTCTTGCTTCGAGGGTGAGAGATCAATTTTAGAGCTATAGGAAGTGAGGCCATGCTGAGCGCCTCTAGGAAGCTATGTCAGTAGCTGCTTTTCTTAAGCCAACTATGAAGCGATAGGAAAGGACGCTTTCATTTGCCTACACCTCTGAACGCTGCACATTAGAAGCAAAACACTTGTCACACAAATGAAGGATTAACGAGCATCTTGAGACTGGCAGCATGAGTAGCCTCGTTCTGTGCGCTTAAAAACCAAAGGCATGCCCTTGGGGAAGTAATGTCAAAGACTTGTGCTTGGAGGAATGATTGCTTAACTGAGGAAGCACCTATTTTTCTTAGGCCCTGGAAAATTTCAGGGAACGAGAGCCAGTGTTCCTGTTTTAGTGCACTACTTCTTTTTCCCTTAGTGGTTTTCCGTCTGTTTGGCTCTTGTTCCCAGACAGAGCAGCAGAAGTCTCATTATCAGCAGTGAACAAAGCAGCAGGCTGACGACGGGGCTAGGTGTGGAGGTCACAAGTGCTCGGATTGGCAGTTAGCGCTCACACCGCTGTTTCCTAGTGTGTTATTCGCAGCAAGCGAATAACTTGACTTGCAGCATCTAGCAAGTCAAGACAAAGGTGCATCACCAAGTTCCTCAGCCTCAGATCTGCCAACCCAAACTGGAGTAGCCACCTTCCCCACCAACTCCTGTGTGGTTGAAGAGTTTCATTTCAGTTTAGAGCCCTGAGAAGATTATTGGAACAGCAAGATTCTCCTCCCACTTCACTCTCCATATCTGCAAGCTTAGGGAAATTGCTTGTTGAGAATCGTATTGTTACCCATAAAAGTAGCTTCTTTTCTTTTCCTTTCCTTTCTTTTGTTTTTCTGACTTTCCTTTCCTCCCCTCCCTCTTTCTTTCTTTCTTTCTTTCTTTCTTTCTTTCTTTCTTTCTTTCT